TAACAGGCTCTAGCCATCTTTTGATTCCCCTTCAGCACTCCTACCCCCTGAGGAGTTGGGAATTTCATGCAGAGATGGGGTTGCGAGATGACAGCCTTCAGCTCGCACAGGGTGGCTCTTCCTAATATAGCATTGAAAGCTGATTCCATCTTAACGACCAGGAAGGTGACAGAAGCCATCCTGAAGCGCGGTTCTGAGCCCACATATATAGGAAGAGTAATAACTCCCTCAACCGGGACGGGCTGGTTATCAAACCCGTATATTGGCCCTTCGTGCTTCTGTAGTGAGCTCGGATTTAGCTGCATCTTCTGGAAGCAACCCCAGTATAGGATATCTGGTGAACTGCCAGTGTCAATAAACACCTTATTAACATTATGATTGCCTATATGAACTGTTGCCACAAAGGGATCTGCATGGGGCATCATAATGTCGGGCTCTCCTTCTGTTCGCTTATAATCTGCCGGGCTGAATGTGATGGGCGTGTTTTCCCATTCTGCTTCCTCAAACGGCCGTTTCAAGGGTCTATTTTTGTTGACGGTTATCACCTGTCGGGCATATGTCTTGTGAGCTCGGGCGCTCTGGCCCCCTGAGTGAACACCACCCGATATCATGTTTATTGTACCAGAAGGTGGGGGTATCCCAGCATAACCTACCCCTTTCCTGTCTTTTTGATTCGGGACGGTAGTTCTCGGTACCTGCCCTCTCATGTTGAAAGGACGTCCTCGGTATGCTCTGCTTTGTTCAGAAGGATACTGGTTATCCTGATATGCATCTTGTGTCCCTCTATGCTGGTACCCCTGTCCTTGAGGTCGATCGTACGCCTGTACAAAATGGGTTTGAGTGGGTTGCTGGGTATGAGGCTTCTGAACGTACCCTTCTAGCTTCCCGTTACGAGCCAAAAACTCTAACTCGTCCTTCAAGTGTTGGCAGTCCTCTGTATTGTGACCATATACACGGTGGTACTCACAATGCTTGCTCTTATCTGCCCTCGGGGAATCATGTAGTGGGGGTGGAGGTCTCCGAACCCAGTGCTGAATTTGTGCCAGGATTTGAGACCTGGGTAAGGTCAAAGGGATGTAACTGGCATACTTCGGGAACTCAGCTGGTTTCCCCCATTGCTCACCGACCTTCTGCTTCTTCTTTTCTTCTCTTCTCGGGTGCTGTTCCTGGCCTTTGCTCGACTTATCATCAGCTCGTCGCTTGGCCGACTGAAAGTCCTCTGACAGTATAAAGCTGGCCGACCTGTCATTCACCTCGTTCCACGTCTTCGGTGGGTTTTCAAGCAGGTCGTCTAGGAACCGGCCACGCTTCAACCCATGCAATAGGGCGGACAAGCAAATCGTGTCTGGGACATTATCAATGTCCAAGGTGGCTTTGTTGAACCGCTGCATGTAATCCCTCAAAGACTCCCCTTCCTTCTGGTTAACTTGCATCAGCTCAGTCGCTGTGCGCTTGATCTCCCTTTGGCTCGCAAATTTGTTCGAGAACAGCTTGGCGAGCTGGGAAAATGAATCTATTGAATGTCTGGGGAGTTTGTGATACCATCTTCTGGCTGTTGATTTCAGTGTCGCCGGGAACACTTTGCACATCATGGCATCATTGGTGTTTTGAATCCTCATGATGGCTTGATAGGTGTGTAGATGTTCATCCGGGTCTTTCGTGCCATCATATGTCTCTAGGTGGGGAATTTTGAATCCCTCTTGATATGGTTCTGCTGTGATGGATAGGTTCAGTGGGGCACTATCCAAATCCAAGGTCTGTTGGTGCGACCTGGGGCTTTTCAGCTCGTCAATGGATTTCTGCACATCCCGCAGTTGCCTTTCAAAGTCTGCGTTCTTTCTCATCAATTCTTCACTATATTTGGACGGGCTGGGCTCGATATTCAATTTCCCACTTCCCCTAGGCCTGGTCGGCACTACTATATTGCTTAGAGCGGGGGAGTTTCTAGTTGCAACAACC